ACTATAGCGATGGCCTCCACCCTCATAGCGATGGCCTCCAACCTCCTAGCGATGGCCTCCACCCTATTAGCGGTGTTCTCCAACCTAGAAGCGATGGCCTCCACCCTAATAGCCGTAATAGCAATGGCCTGCAACCTACTAGCGATGGCCTCCAACCTAATAGCGATGGCCTCCACCCTAATAGAGATGGCCTCCAACCTACTAGCTTCTTGCTACTAGGTTACTAGTAGCTTCTTGTCTCTAGCAGCTGTCGTCCTGTCAGGAGACCCCGCCCTGGTCATGTGCTCAGCTTCGTTGCAGTTTCAGCGGAGAGGCTGTGGGTCACGCGATTTTGAACAAGTAGATCCCACTGGATTTGTCATTGCAGACAGTGCAAGAAAGTTTGTCCATACGTAAGGGTTTGTTGCACTTTCGGATGTGTATAGCATGCTTGGTCAATGGATACATATGGATACGATGAGATTGCGAGTCACCCCGTTCGTGCCCACCGTGTCGGTACCTAAATTCACATCTTGTGGCAGGTCATATTCTTTGCCCGTGTTCAGAGTCCACGTTTCAAACCGCTTCCGCACATCTGAGTCCATTCAAATTAATATACAAGACACCCTTTGGTACAAATTAATGTGCCCACTATGTGGTTTGCCCCCCCGTACATATCCTTGGTTCATGCCTCGCGCGCCGACGAAATCGCGTGCATTTGTGGGAAAAACGAGTTGAGCACAGGCACTAGCTTTGGGTTCCAAAACCTAATTTGAGCACCTTTTTGGGAATCAATGAGGTTTTGATGAGATTGCTCGGACTCCAGGATGGATGCGAACAAAGAAATCATAACAGATTTGCAGATGTGTAGGTTTCTAAGTCTAACCACCTTTGGAGGTTTAGCATGGTTTAGCCTGTTTTTGTTTCTCCACTTCCCGGTCCAATTGGTCCAATCAGCCGTTCAGTGGACGATTCGACGTCGTTCGTCGAGCGAAATGGCTTCGGTCGCTGAAAGGGTTCAGCTTCCTTTTCTGCAGAACTCCCCAAACAGGGAGCTGAACGACCGAGCCATTCCGCAGAAAAGGAAGCAATTGGACCGAGCTGAACGACCGGCTTCCTGCGAAATGAGCCGGAAGGAGCCAATTCCGCAGTCCCGGGGACCTGATCCAGACCGGATACAGGGACGATCCAGTCGGATCTCGATCTGGATCTCCGCGCTCGGTCGGTCGGATCTCCGATTCCAATGCCGGCGTCCAATGGATGTCGATCCGACCTAATCCCAGCCTTGGACGGGCGCTTAAGGACCCATACCGCGGCCGATGGGCCCATGGAGGTGTGGCCCGAAGAAGCTCCGGAGGCGACTCCGGAAGAACTGGCCGAAGCCGGATCATTTGCACCACGACATGGCATGTTTTGAGGTGTCATGACATAAAAAGCTGAAAACCTCACCTTTGGTGATCAGTGGTGCCTTCTTTTTGCATGGTCATTCTTGAAGTCTGACGAGTCAAGGCGCGTAACAGTGCAACATCGGAGACATATTTTGGGTCGCTCGGATGTCGGTTCCCAAAGCTGCACTTGCTTGAAGGAGGAGGCGGTGGCCAAGGAGAATCATGAGCAGTGGCTCAAGTAGGGGTGCCCAGTGTGCATGTGTGATGGCCAGGCAGTGGAAAGCTGCACCTGAAAGTAGAGAATTGGTTTGTGTTGGATGTTGGGCATCAACTACAACAAGCATCAGAGGCATGTACGATTCAGTTCCTCAAACGAACCCAAGCTCTTTAGATAGAAGCTTCCTTGGACATACATGGATGGAAGTTGTGTTGAAGGACCGGTGTTAGCGAGGCATTTGGGGGAGCAAGCAGCGCGGGAGAGCAGCATTACCAACCCCCAAAAAGGTTCCAGACAAAGCCATGGACTTTGGGATGTGGACGTTCTATGGGTCTTAGCATGTTCATAGGAACCAAGAACGTTCCTATATTCATAGAATATGGTTGAGACTTGGGAAGTTGGCAACAAACATGTGTTGAAGTTTATGTTTAATGTCTGCGTTTTGTTTAATGGTATGTTTTAATGATTGAATGTATGAATTTGAAAACATCAATTTTTGGTTTATGATTCTTCTAATGGTGACATTTATGTTTGTTTAATTGCACAATTTATGATGTAATGGCAAACTGCAAGATGGTTTAAATGATTTGTAAATGTTTTTTCTCCAACGCTTTTGTTGCTTTTGGATTGAAACTTAAACTTAAACGGTGTTTCAAATAATGCTTACTTTATCTTACCTTTTTTCCCCAAACAGTGTGGACTCACTTAGGGGTTCTTACGGTAGGTGTTAAGCAACTGATGCTTAGATCGCTGAAGCACGCGGGCATGTCCGGCTAATTCGCTGCTATTTACAGTACATTCATACCTCTCGAAATCGTCGACATGCATTTCGACTGCGCAGGCTCGCTGAATCTGGGTGTCCGCGGCGGGTGCTTCTAGCGACTGCGCTCTCATTGTGGTGCCGTGCGCATTTTCGCACATGGTGGTGACTTTTCGTGGCAAGCGCAAGGGAAACCTCGTGTTTTGGTGCTCCAAAGTCGACTTTTCGTGACAGGTGCAAGGGATCGGTGATGTTCTACTTCGAAATGCAGTTTTCGTGGCAGGTGCAGCACTTTGGACATGGTGGTGATCGTCGAGGAGCTCAGATTTCGTGACAGGTGCAGAATCGTGACTTTTGGACATGTGGCTCATTTGCAGATTTCGTGGCAGGCGCAGCATTCTGTGACCCTTGATGTGCAGATTTCGTGGCAGGTGCAGCACTTTGTGAACCTCGAAGTGCAGATTTCGTGGCAGGTACAGCACTTTGTGAACCTCGAAATGCAGATTTCGTGGCAGGCGCAGCACTTGATGAACCTCGAAGTGCAGATTTCGTGGCAGGCACCACAGCACTTTGTGAACCTCGAAGTGCAGATTTCGTGGCAGGCACAGCACTTGGTGAACCTCGAAGTGCAGATTTCGTGGCAGGCGCAGTGCTTTGTGAACCTCGAAGTGCAGATGTCGTGGCAGGCGCAGCCACTCTCTCACTCTCACCCTCACTCTGACTCACTCACACACGCTCACACTCACACGCATTCTTCACTCACACTCACACTCACATTCACACTCACACTCATTCTTCACTCACACTCACACTCACATTCACACTCACA